GCCTACTGTTTGCAGTTCATTAAAGCCCTTCCAACACCCAAGCAGGCACACTCTAGTCAAAGGGCATGTTCATTCCAGAATATGTAGTGTCTGTTCTCAAAGCAATGCTTGTGGGCTCATGTCCTTACCCTTGCATACTACATACACTACCAATGCAGATGGAAAAACAGGGGAGTTTGTTGTTGCTGGTGGGTTGTTTAAAGAACAACCATTTTTTCATCTTGTTTACTTCTTTACTCAGTTCCCAACCATACAGCTCAAGGTACTGAAAGCAACAGTTTGTGCCACTATCACCTCACAAAGTTGGTGAGGTTGGGCAGAAGCCCTCCAGTCAGTATTCAGATACTGGGCAACAACTGCACACACCTTTCACACCTAAAAGCAAGCAAAGTCATGATGATGTAGTAGCTATGAGATGGCAAGAGCCCCTGTGGAAATAGCAGAGAGCCACAGACATTGGTGTTGCTGGATTTCCTAAATTTCTGCTCATGCTACACCACTTTATAGACATCTCCGCAGAACAGGACATCTGATGAAAGTATAGTAAAAAAGTTAAAGTTGACAGATTTTACAGCAATTGAGACATTTTTCTTGGTTTTCCTATTGCCTGAAATGCCACCTACAAGGGCATCAACTCGTTCATTCAGATGAAAAGCTGCAGGATCTAAGTCTATGTTTGGAAGAGTATTACTCCACTGAAACAATATTCTAGCACCATCACCTCAAGCAGTATTGCAGAAATGGTCAGTAATACAAGAGAAAAAAGAAACAATGCTAAGGCAGCCCAACGACAGATGTGGTCCCAGTCTTATGCTACACACCACTCTGGAGATGCTTGTTTTGTTCTGCTTACAGCTGTAAGAGAAATTAAATGACCACCTCTACTGTCCAACCATTATATTTAAGTACGGAAGTACTTACAAACTGCTTGGAATTATTTAACAGCTAAAATGCTGGTTAATTGCTTCTTCCTGATGCAAGTCTTGTTAATATGGCATTAAACCCATACAAAGGCAGACTCACTGTCACCTGTAGAAAAGTTCTATTAAACAACAAAAAAGTTCCCAAAGCATAGTCATAAAAAAGTATTTCTGAAACACTACACATTTCAATTACAAATATTTCAAGGCAGGCCCCTCAGCAGAGAATTAAATATGCTACCATAACACATAAGTTATAGACTTTGCTGCTACTTTTATATTAAAAGCCAAAAATGGCAATCTGCTGTACAAACTAGCTAGTGTAAAAACACTAGAAGAATGGTAACACTACATTTTGTCATTAAAAAAATAATGTCACTTCTATGTAAGCCTTAACATTTAGTTCTCTCACAAAACATCAATAAAAACAGGTCCTTTAAGGAACATTTGAAAACCTGAGATAGGCAATCAACAGTTCAGATCTCACAAATGAAGTCATGAGTTCAACTGCCCTCAAAACAACATTTACTTCCACTGAAAAGTAAGTTCTGCTTGCCCTTGACATACTAACATCCCAGTCAGTATGAAGGAAGATAATAAGATCTGTCAGTTTCTGGAAAAACTTTTAACAAACAAGGCTTTTTCTTAAAGAGTTGTTTGATTTGATTTTGCTAGCTTTACCAAGTCTCCCAAGGGGTATATTTTTCTCCACTGTGCCAGTGGCCTGATAGAAATACTGTAACAGTGGAAGACTTAACCCTATCACAAGATACCATCTCTCCCTCTTAATGCAAAATGGAGCCAGGTTTACTACAGTTTCATTTTAAGAGATTACCCCTGAGAATCAAGTTCAGCTACAGTTTATGCCTAAAGTCCAGTAAGTGAATATACAGTGTATCTTAAGTATATTTAAAAAAAAAAAAAAGAATAGCAAAATGCAGCTGAAACTCCCCAGAGGAGATGAAAATGTTTTAGTAAATTTATGAAATATTAAGTCTCACAAATTTATGCAATGTTAAGAAGAGCAAAACAACTCCTCCTAGAGTGGTTAAACATCATACCACTAAGTTAAACACCCTGATCCCCCTCCCAATTAACATTTTTGTTTGAAGACTAACCATTTAATTTGAAATTTCCTCTTGCTATGCCAATTACATTTTAAAACTTTTTCCTGTGAAATTTAAGTGCACTATCTTATTTTACACACAAAGTACTATCAAAAACAACCCAGAGTAGAAAAAAAAAAAAAAAATGTTTTTCTTGCCTCAGTACCAAGCACCTGGCAAGTAAATGGAAGGTTCCTGCAAAGCCTTAAAGGTTATTAAAAGCATTCCTCCTTTTCCCTGGGGACTTAAAACTCAGTTATTTTCATTCCTCCTCTTAAGCCTATGAAATTACATCATCTTTTCCCCTTTGATTTATACTTTATAGTATTTTTTCCGCATTGTTCCTCAATTTGCTAATTCAGTAATAAATAAAACTCCTGTTGGCTCCCATAACGAAATAATAAGAGAGGAAATGCCCAGTATTGCATGTTTCTTTACAAAACAGGATCATTCATTATCTTAATTACATATATTCTGTGTATAATTTTAATAATTTGCAATTTATTATTTGTTTCAGCTACATAGGTCTTTGACTTAACTTGTCAAATCTTTGAAAAATAAACTAACAAACTGCCTTGGAAGGATCTCTACCAAAGCACTGTGATAGAGTACAAAAGTAAGAGCTTTCTATTTGCTCATGGTTTATTAACTTCCCCACAAATAGAGCATAAGTCTACACCCAGGGTCAATTCCCTTCCTGGGCACTTGGTGCTCTCTAAGCCCAAGGTAACTTTACACCAACCCTCTTACTGAACCTACATCTGGGCCTGTTGCATTCAAAAGACTGCTGCAATTACATTAGTTCCCTCTTGTAAAACACTATTGTTCACTCCCATGAAACAGCTGCAAAAGTAAGACCCTCTGTTCTAACACTTAATGCCCTCTCCCTTTAGGCCCCTCCCCAAATTTAAAAGAAATTATCAATCAGCAGTAGCAAAAGAATTGGTATTAAAAACCTGGTTTAACAAAGTCATTGAAGTTGACAACCATTCAGAACAGGACTAGGAGGACAAAAAGCACTGCCTGAAAAAAATGAGACACCTGTCCCCAGTTGCAGAAGCCTAGAATTACCCACATTAGAAGAGACTGCTGGAAATGCCCCTGGCTAAAGCAGGATCAGCTAGAGGAGGTTGTCCAGCACCACGTCATCCAGTTGAATTTTCCATGTCTCAAAGAACAGAGACTCCACAACCCCTCTGGGAAACCTATTCCAGTGCTGGACCACACTCCCAGTAAAACAGTAGGGTTTTGCTTGTGTTGAGACAGACATCGATGTGGTTTAATTTGTCTGCTGCATTTTGTCCTGTCACTGAGTGCTACAGAGGTGAGCCTGTCTCCTGCATCTTCATTCACTCTTATTATATATTCATACAAATTGATACACTGAGTATCAGGGAGCACAAACTGATACCCTCTGAGCCTTCTCTAGGCTGAACACTTCCAATTCTCTCAGCCTCTCCTCATATGAAAGATGTTCTAGCCCCTTTATCATCTTTGTGGTTCCTGCACTGGACTCCATTTAAATGGACACCATTAAACCTGTTTGCATCTTCTATTAAGGATCCCAGAACAGGACACAGCATTCCAGATGTGACCTCACCAATGCCAAGTGGAGAAGGAGGATCACCACCCTCAGTTTTTGGCAATGCTCTTTACACTGCAGCCCAGGGTACTGCTGATCTTTTTTTGCCACTAGGATTCATGCTGGCTCATGGTCAGCTTGTCCACCCAGACCCGAAGATCCTTCTGGACAAAGGTTCTTTCTAGCTTAGCAACACCCACAGTTTGCTGGTGCAAGGTGCTGTAACTCCCAAGGCACAAGACTTTGCATCTCCACTTCTTGAGCTTCATAAGATTTCTCTGCTCAATTCTTCAGCCTGTCAAGGTCCCTCAGCATGGCAGCACAGCCACGGGTATATTAGCCACTCCTCACAGCTTTGTATCATCTATAAACTTGTTGAGGGCATCCTCCATCTCATCATCAGGTCATTAATGAAGATGCTGAACAGCACTAGCCCCAGTACTGTGCCCTGCAGTACAGTAGTCCAGGAGACATCTGGAAAGAAGCTAGTCAGACAGAAGCCCATGGGTTTACCTACTTTAGGTGCATGAACAGCAATTGCTTTTGCCATGTCATACTTGTATGATAGTATACACATAAAGATAAGTAAGGCTGCGAAACAGTAGTGCAAGGTCTCCATACAGTCATTCCCCACAGAGCAGGTCTTGCTTCTGGATGCAGATAAAACTTCCTGTCTGCCTAAATCAACAGTTCCTTTTAGGTCACAGTTCTCCCGAGATACCAGGAACGAGCACAAATACATATACAGTCTTCAAAGCTGCACGATCTTTCCAAGTTAAAAATTATGCAGCCCTCCTGCCATAAAGTAAAGCAGGTCAACTTTTGGTTTTCATTTTCGTATTTCTAGGAAGGCTCTTATTTCCTTCTTCTGAAGTAGTCATGACATAGGATCACATCTGTGTACAGCTAAATCCACAAAAGGCAATAAATTCTGCTGTGACATCGTAAAGCAAGCATAGGTCTAACATTTAAATAGGGCAAATTGCACTGTTACCCACATGCTCACATAACATAAAATTTTAAGTCAAGACAAATTCATCCAGAGACCTTCTCTAGAGCTGAACTGAACAGTAACACAAACTTTTTGCTTACAAATGACTACATCCATACTATTCCTCCTCATCAGTGTCTACTATAATCAGGCAATCAGGCAAAATGTTTTCTCATGATCTTTCATCAGTTCATAAAAGAGATCAAACTCAATTGGGACTGAATGTGGCAGAAGGAACTACATTATTAGATAACAATTTTAGTGGAGGACTTGCTTCCTCCTCCATAGGAGCAAGGAAGACACTAATAAGCAACCTGCTTGGTAGCAGGGTGCATAGTAGGTTGAACTTCACAGGCTTCACACCCATTTTGTTACTTGAAAAAGTCACAGAAATTTCTTACCTGCAACAAATGACTGCTTTACAGGAGAGTGCCAAGTCTAGAAAGCTCTGCCTGACTTCAAATGAAAGGGCATACTTCAGTGTGTGGCCATCAATAATCAGGGCAATATCATTTTCCTTGCCCAGCGACTCCCCCAGACTGGTACAGTGTTGAGTCAGAGAGGCTCTTGTTGCCTGAAGAATAAATAGAAAGAAATCATGTTTCTTCATAATATAAGAATAGTGCATCCAAACTACAGCAAGGCATCTCCAGACTATGCAACAGAGCTCAGTATACGTGCATGCAAATCAGCAGAGACATAAATTTGTGTTTTTACAGAACCTCGTGCATAAATATTGATTTGTCACAAATCAGCAAAAGTTGCCTCCGCTTGCTTAGGAAACCATGTCTTGTTTCAGTGCAGACTCCAGCATCTCCACTACACAGTCCTGTATGATGCATGTGCCCACAGTACTTGGCATACATCCTTTTCAACTGCAGCCCAAATGAATTAACTTTCCTGGGCCAAACAGGTGGGAGGAGGATCAAGCCACTTTCACACAAAGTGGAGAGAAAAGGGGGGGAGGGAAAGAGGGAAAGTTGCTTTGCAATTCATTTTCTCTCACCCCACTCACTGATACAGTAGTCAAAACAAACTCACTCTGATTCACAAGAAAACTAGCCCCAAACTGGAGAAAAATTTACAGATTAAGTTAATGAGTATGACAGACTGCCCAATTCAGCCCTTTCAGACTCAGACTACCTTTTGCACCTTCTTCATTACAAGAATGACTGCATTATTCCCTGTTTCCCCATTAAAATGTGAGGGATTAGATTTATGATTTTATGACTGTACCTGAAAATTTAACACAAAGTAGATGACTGTGCTTAAACCATTAGAGACCAGTGCTGGGAAAACAAGGGTATGTCTTCAGGGAAAAAAGCTGTTTTATCTAGTTCAACACTGCTATGGTGAACTTGCCACCGGTTGCTGCATGAGAGGAGCCCCAAAGAGAAGATACAAGGACTCCCTGAAACAACATCTCAGCCTTGGCCATATTGATCAGCATAACTGGTCTGCTCTGGCCTCCAGTCGGGAGGTCTGGAGACACACCATCTATAACGCTGCTGCTTCTTTTGAGAACGCACGCAGGATCACTCTCAAGGAGAAAAGACAATGCAGAAAGAATCGTGCCTTGCAGAATTTACCACCTAAGGAGTCTTTCTGCTGTGCCTTTTGCAATCAGACATGCCTGTCTCATATTGGCCTTTTTAGCCACCAGCACGCTTGTGACAAATGTGGATAGAGCCCTTCCCAAATCTTCATTTGCGAAGCCCAGCCATGATTCTATAAGGAATAAAGTTTCGGTAATGTTATCAATAATAAAATTTTATTCCAAGAACTCCCACCCCTGGAAACTTAAGAGTGTCATTTCTTTGTCTTTACTGCTTCCTCTCAGTGTTGCTCAAACATTTTTCTTGCTCTCAAATGCAGAATTAGCCCCCATCCTTTTCCTGAAGGCACCCACAGGATTAAAAGCTCCACTAACTATTTGAAACCAAGGGAGTCAGTCCTTGCCCTTATTTCCTGTCTAGCACTTTGGGCACTTCAAGGGAAACACCCTCATTTTTCACCTGATCCAAAGAAGTATGAAGGGCCACAGCCTAACCACTCTCTCCCACAGCGGCACAGGAGGGCAAGTTTAGGAGGGTTATTCAATATCCATCATTGGTTGCTCAAAAGAAAAAGCCACATGGCAACAGCAAGACTAATAAAAGGGAACGTTGCTCATCAAATGAGATTACTACTATGTCCACAGCTTATTATCATAGCTATGCACAAGCCTCATCCAATTCATGCCCTGGTCATGGAACTTATTCATCTTATATTCGATTAGTAACAAGGTTAATAATACCTCAAAAGGCTATAAATTAAGAATTACAAATTGGGCACTTAATCTAACCAGCATTTGTAAAACTCTTAATATACTCATCTATACACCGGGTTAAATTACAACCTAATAGTTTATACAGTAAAAAAGCATGAATTATTATTTCTGTTTCTTCCAACTACTTACAAATGCTATGTTTTAAAAACAAAAACAAACTACTGCTCCTGTAGGCCACTGCAATTAAGAAGAATAAACTAGACCTCAAACTCCCTGGGTATACATATAATGAAGACTTCCTAAGTAAGCAGAGGAACAAACATTCAGAAACCATGGACAACTATATCCTTTTGTGGGCAACTCATTACTGGAAACTAGAGCAGAAATCTCTACTTTGATACCTAGCTTTTACTCTGTGTTTGACATCAAGGGATAAGTTTCTTCAAGTCACATCAAGCAAAACTAAATAAATCCTTTACTAAAACAAGCATGGTGGAGCAGAAATCACAGTAATCTTAAGAAAGTGTCTGGATAAACTCAGGCCTGTGGAATACCCCTGTCTTTTTACTGAGAACCCATCAAGTATAAAGGGAAAGTCTGTCAGGAGTTCTGACAAAAACAGAGTATTAGAAGCAAATATTACAAGCATCTCACTTAGCCATAATAAACTTTGTTTTCCTTCCCTCAAGATTTTCTTTTAACATACAGAGCATCCAGCTGCTCTGGGGAAGCCTAGAAAGGTCCCTGTCAATCAGACCTTATTGTACTGGCATATGAATTTCCAACAAATACTAAAAATACACAGTTTTAAGTAAAAGTCAGAAGGCGCAAAAACTGAAAAGTCCATTGGTTTTGTAGCCCTGATTCAGTGGGCTATTCCAATAAACATGGACACTTCATTAGCCAGGAGAGGACATGTGCACCTGCCTAAGCTGTCTGTTCAATCAGAGCAACATGATCAGTTTAGAGCTTCACTACGGCTTAAATACTCATAAGACCACTGAGCTTCAGAGCACAAACATGAAAAAAAAAATCAACCACAGAACTCAAACTGAAGAAGATAAGGAAATTAGGTTTTAATTTATTTTTATTTTACTTTTGCACATTTGACATGATTGGGGGCCTTGTTTCTAAAAGTATGAACAAGTCTGACAGATGCATTTAAGGGAAATTATTATGGTCTCTGGGCTTGAGTTAAATTCAAGACATGGTGCCATATTGCATAATCAACCCATCTCACCTGCTTTTCCTGTTTGTTTTTCCATTTCCATTTTAACCAAGTCATAACCACAAATACAAACCTTGAACAGAGCATTTACTTGCGTTACTGTCTTAAAATAAACTTTCAGATGTTATTGTTCTCTGTGTGCATAGTTTCCATCCAGAACACCAAGTAACATTATTAGTACCCTATTATAAATCTTCATAGCATAGTATAATTTGTTGACAGGCAGAAAACAAAAACATCCTGAAGCAGAATTTGTGTGGTCTTTTCCCTGGACTGCACTCTCAGGATCTTTAACAAACCTTCTGATGGCACGCCTGTATAATCTCACTTTCTAAAACCTCAGAAAAAACCCTGCTGAGCCCAACTTTGTATCTGAATTACAAAACTGACTAACAAAGTTTGGGATTTCCCAGGCTATTATTTTGCAGGTTGACAGAGCAAACACTAATACTTTTCACATGATGCTTAAAGTTAATTGGAAAGTCAATGCAATCAGAGTGAACCTAATCAGAGCTCTGCTGACTTCACTAAAAACAAGAGCAAACTCCTCATACTGTAATAAAAAACATTAGGAACATTACTATATAGGTTATATAACTTAATCTTTAGTGGGATTTTCTGTGTGTGCCTTGGGGTGGGTTTTTTGTAGTTGCTGGGTTTTTTGTTTAGTGGAGACTGCCCAATCCCTCCCACGAGAGCTTGCGAAGTGTGCACACTACAGCAAGAAATGTCGGTGTGTGAGGTAATTCAATATCCAACACAGAACCCAGTATCAGACAGTTGCCAGGAAAAAAAAAGAATCAAAAAAACCAAACAAAACTAAGTCAGTAGGACTTGCAAAAACTGGGTGCAAAAGACTCCAGCAGGATAACAGCCATTCCCTAAGCTTACCTTACAAAAAAGCTGATACCCAGAGAAGAACTGGACAATTATTATAAGATGATCAGCTCCAAACCACCTCTTCTCCTTCCTCCCCTGCATTTCCCCAGGAAGGCTCACAAAGTCACTGAGATGACAGTGAGAGACAGAAACAACAGAAATCTGGGCAGCCACTACACTCAGGTTTTGTCATAAGCATACAGTGATACATGGCCCACAAGGCAAAAGATCTTGGGAAGAGAACATGGCAAGTAGCATCACGTAGGCAAGGAGGTCTCTTCAGCTGAAGAGAGCCACTCATCCCTGGATCTGTGACCTCTAATAGACATATCCCCATAAGGTCAAAATCAGCCTTACATTCTGGCCTTCCTGTGCATCTACATTTCATGCACCCTCCATGCGTGGCCATTCCTCCATCTCAGAAGACCTAACATGACTCTCGCAGAACAAGCTCCTGCAGTAAGAAATAATAGCTTATAGTTAAACTAACCTCTAAGTTTAAGTCAACTGTATACACTACTTGCTTCTATATTTATGTAAAAAGTACTGCTAGCTACAGCAGTTTAAAGAATTTTCCAAGTTAACTTCTTCCATCATCCTATAATTAATTTCCAAACCACTAATGCTAACTCATTGAAGTGCACTGCAGTGCCAGCTCAACTTATTTTAACAGTCCAAGGATTTACGTTTTATGGCTTCTGTTTTCCTTCCTATGCATTGATAATCTGAATAGTAACATGTAACCATTTTTTTTTTACTGTGCTAAAAAAAGTAGTTTCAACTCAAAATATCATCCATGCCCCCTGCTCCCCAGTGTTAAATCAAATTAAATGGAAAATCTTCCAAGGATAGCTTAAGAATTAAGCAAGCACTCCACTGCATAACCGCATTCAAGATAACACTAGCCAACCCTACTTCATGGAAGATTTTCCACTACATATTAATTACAACCTAAAAGCTTCACCACATGTTAGGTGAAGGCTTTGACTTCAATCTTCCTAGTTACTGTGCTAGAGAGATCTGTCAAGACATCTGGTAGAAGCAAATTTACAGGAGAATAGGAATAATCAACATAAAGGCAAGAAAAAACCTAATGTTTAAACCAAAGCTGGCAAAACACTGTGTAACACCTGTTGGGCAGAAGAGTCACTGGAAGTGCTTTCCACAATAAACAAAACATTTGCAAGAGCTAACCTTG